AGTGCAAGACAATCCGTGTTTTTGTGATCGCCCCATCTGTATGTACCTGCTTTTTGCTAGTCCTAAATTTTGATGCCTGTGTGGTATTTTTTTTAAAAAACTTTACACCTTTTGTTTATCTAATAGTAAGGTCTTACAAATAGTTTCTGTAAATGGGTCCCTTTCTCCTTTTTTTATTTTTTTTTTTAACCAAGTGTTTACAATTCTGCTACAACTTGGTGCCATTTGTTACATGTTGAGTAACTGCTGTGTAATTCAGTGTAAAGGATCCCTCAATCACTGTTATCCATACGCATCAAGCCGGATATAATGTCGTACTGTTGAAAATGGAACATTTTACATGGAGATTACAGTGAATGGCAGTGTGACAGTTCTGTGTTTCCATGAAATTGGTATGAATGTGAAAAATACAACTCTAATTTTAAACATACGGCATTTCTAGGCATGTTTTTTTTTTTTTCCCCCTTCATTCCTGAAATTGGTAAACAAGTAGTACTTAAGTGTTTATAGGAATACTAATAGTCCTTTTTCTTTTATTTTGGTCTAATGCAAGTTTTTAAAAGAATGTAAAAACTATTACTGAAACTGAATGTATTCTATTCATAACATGCCATCTTATTGTTTTCAATGAGAGTTGCCAACTTATCCCTTTAATTACTGATACCTATGAAATACACAGGTTCTGCTGCGGATTCAATCTTGGTGAGGTCAGATTATAGGATTTAGTATTTTAGGACCCATTTACATTCGGGCGGCCAGCTGTGCTGCATTTACTGTATGTACATTATATCATGTGAATGGGCTGCCAATGTACATCAGCACACAGAAAATTGGTCCTTCAGCAAATATGATCAGCGCAGCACACTGCAATGTATGGTAGGACGTTACTGTACTCATTGCAATGTAGGTGTGTGGGGTGTCCTCCACGTTGCATGCTACAGTTATTGCAACACATTGATGTGAATAGGCTCTAAAGAGGTGAAGTAGAAACCCAGGCTTAACATATGCTGGGGTCTCTGTTTTTAGGCATTTTAGGCCAGGTGGATAGAGAGAGAGAGAGAGAGAGAGATATATCTCTCTGATGTATTACAAAGTTTCTGAGGTTTACAGAGTTTCCATACCCAAAAATCTCTGTCCTACAGGGACCTTTACATTTTACGGTGCAATCTGTAGTACACAAGTTTTTAGAAAAACTTTGTGTATGTATATGTGTGGGACCTTTGTTTTTAACCTTAGTGGTGAGACAAGTTTTTTTGCATGCTGGCTGGTGAGTGTGCTGGGAAAGTTTTTTGCTGTTTTATTGTATATGTGTGGGGATACACAAATCCCAGGAACCCCATAGCCAATGCTCCTTTAAAAATTATAGCTGCCTCCTAACTTTTTTGAGTTTTTCTCTAGTCTAGTCATGGAGCTGGGAAAGTATCGTTACTTGGTGTTTGTGCATCCCTAAAAACATACAGTATATCTAATGCTAGGCCCACGTTAATATTCCTTCAACAGGGTTACATGTACAATAGGGACAGTTTGGTTACATTTGATGAGTTTTTTTCTTACTGTGAATTGGCCCTAAAGGCTTCTGATAGGGACATTGTAGTAACACAGGGCAAAATTAAATCGTATACTCTACTCTACTGGTCCTGTAGTATTAAAGCACCATCCCTAATGTCTTGTACAGTTCTTAAAAGGAGGTTAAATGACTGTTTGTTGTAATTCCACTGAACTTGATTTACAGTTCATCTGGAGAGGTAGCTCAGCATTAACACCTGATAGCTGGTTGGATTTTCTGGTTTGAATTCTCATTGAAAACTGCATCCATTTTTATATTTCATTGCAATAGTGCAATCTGGTTTTCAATGAGAGGTCTAAGTAGATTGGGAGTGATGGCAAATTGTTCTGTTTTATTATGGCTAGTTTGTTCAAAGAAGCCAGAAGTACAAGTGTTGCATGGTATAGGCTCAATTTCTGAGAGTTGGCAAACTGTCAGACGTTTTGTTTGCTAGTCCTTCCTTCAACGAGTCAGGCTCAAAATGCATTAACTCGATATAAACTTGTCTTAATGGATAAAATCAGCCTTTGTTTATTGTTATCACGTTTGATAAATAGTTAAGAGTGTATCACATAGGCATTAGTGTTAGTTTGTTAGTGCTGTGATTTGAGAATACATTCACTACCTGTTTTGAGGTTCCACAGCAGCTTATGGTTTATAGATTGACACATTATATATGTATGTGTTCATTTAGGTGTCACAATAGTGCTGCCCTTATTTTCATTTTAATAAAAAAAATAAAAATACTTGTACAGTACTATAGATCAGTGTTTCTCAAGATTTTTTCAGTCACAGCTCCCTTTTAAAAGTATACAAGCTCTCAAGGCACCCAAGTCTAAAATTTAAAAATGTAAATGTGAAGAATTATATGTGGTTTCCCCCAAATCTATACCAGACCCTTATCCTAAATAGGGTTCTAGTACATCTTGTAAGGGAGGACCTCATGCAAAAAAAATGTGGAGTCCCCCTACACATCAGATTCCTCAGTTCCTACTTCATATCTGAGTCCTACCTAATAATCTTCAACACAGTGGTGCTAAATGCTGTTGAAGAGCCTGGAAGCTGCCTTTCCTGGATTTGCGTCATGCGATTCCATGGATCTTGTGGCTGGATTGCCTGCACCATGGAAATGAATAACACTGTGTAAAAGTTTGAATGCATACCTGCCAAAGCCAGAAGGCATCCCAGGGTGACATGGCACCCTGGTTAAGAAATTATGGAATAGATGACTCCCTTATTGAGGTAGTGAGCTAACCATTAATTAAAAATGGCAGTGGGAAGAAACAAACTTGAGCCCTGTCTAACTGCCATGTTTACCAGAACATAACTAAAGATTCCTTGGCATATGAAGCGTACCATTCCATACCATTACTTGCAATGAATATTGCCAACGCTAGTGAACAAACCTGTTCATGTTTTGGCACCATGCCTGACAGTACACTGTTTGCTATTGCTGTAAACCATTCTTAGGGTTGTATATACACATTATTAGTGCCACAGAACCCCACTGGTCCTAACACCAGCCTAGAAATACCTGAGCAACTATAGTCAGTGAGGGAAAAGCAAGTAGACCATGCTGTATAACATTAAAAAGGTAACCTTTTTTGTTTACAGTTTGTACTGTTGTGCAGCTGTAGGGTTGCACAATATTTTGAATGCAAGTCTCACTTTAATCCATTTTATATATTTATAACCGTGAAACAATTCAAAATATGTAATGTGGCATTTCGATTTTTCACTACATTCAGAGGGATCATTTGAAGTCCAATAAATAGTTGGTTTTGGCAGAACGGGCTTGAAACACAGTTGTTTTGATGTGGCTGAAGTTGGGTTATTCCATTTACTAGTAGGGTTATGAATGAGCGAGTTGAATTCAAAGTCTAAAGATTTCCCCAGATACTACAGCTGGAGTTGTGTCATTGTTTCAACTGAAAAAAAAATGCATTCTGGCTGCCCAAACACTTTCCATTCCAAGCAATATTTTAGTATGGAAGACTTCCAGCAATTTGTATCTGAACCAACGTAAATACAGAATTTAGGTTTGACAAGGTTGAACAAATTGGTCATGGCTATTAATATCCATGAAAAGCTAATGTAACAAAAAACTATTTCCTTCTCTTGTTCTAAGTTTGTAAAATGGCATTTCACAGTAAACCGCTTCACGTCTGTGGAGGAAAAACAAATCGACATTAGAACAAATATTCAGCTTTCTTGTCAGGCTCTGATTTCTGCTTCATAGTGTGGTACAGTATTTATTTTGCTTTACTTTAGTTTTTATTAGTTGTGTGTTTTTTTTTGTTTTGTTTTTTTGTTTTGTTTTTAGAACAATCTTAATCTATAATAAGTCTTTTAAGTCGGCTGACTCACTGAAATTAATACAAAACCCTTTTGTGGCTATCTTTTCTCAACAGCTGTTGAGAGAGATAACATTAATAGCACTGAGCCTTTACAAGCTAATCTACAAAAGGCTATTTTAAAGATAACAGAGCAATCCTGTAAATATGGAAGAACAATCCTGTAAGTATGTGAGTTATATAAAAAAAATAGGGATGCACCAATATTTTTTTTTCGGTACTCACCGATGCTGAATACCGGTGACGTGTGTCCCCTGATTATCAGAAAGCCAGGCTTCCTGATTAGTTAGGAAGCCAGGCTGCCTAGCAACAAGTGATACCAGCTTCCTAGCAAATCAGGAAGCTGGGAGGCGGGTTATAACCGGCCGCCCGGCATCCTGATTGGAAAGGAAGCCGGCTCCATGCTCCCTCAGCACTGCTGGTCAGAGGGAGAATTCCTCTGATTTCAAAGACTCTTTTTGTAAATCTGAAGTCTTCTCTACACTAGACTTTAACATCAATCCTTAATAATACATTACTGTATTATCTTACCATGTCATATGTTTAATTTTGCCTTAACAAAGTAATGGGGCCCCATTCCACCCCCAGGCCCCATAGCAGCTGCTATGGCTGTAGTTAAGCACTGACTACAACCTTTTCCTTGAAAGAAATGTTTATGGTTTTCCAGTGATCAGTGTGTCGGGATAAATGAAGAGCTTCAACTAATATGCCTGTACATGGCCACTGCTCCTCCTCACCATGGTATTGGAAGCAGAGAGGCCTGTAGTTTCAACCCAGGTATGCTACTACTGCAGCAGAGGTTAAAGATCTGACATGGTGCCCCGGTGCAAAAATGAATACAAAGTATTACAAATTATTTTGTTGATTTAAATGTTTCTCATATGTGTGTTCCACATCTGTGTATATAGTAGCATGCCTGAGTTTTCATTTAAGATATTTGGTGAAAATATTATAGGATGTGTTGTTTGGCAAATTACCTCTCTCAATGTGGAAAGATTCTTTTTCAACAAAATGAAATATTCTAGCTTTATTGCATTAGTGGAGTGAGCTTCTAACGTGCAACCCAGATATTTATCATTTATTTTGCCATGTCTCCACAGCTGCTTATTGGGGTGATATTGCTTTGGATGAAGAGGACCTGAAATGGTTTCAAGTTAACAGATCACTAGACCGAGAAGAAACCAGCAATAACCATACTGGAGGTTGGTGAATTTTAATTTGTTTCAATTTTAAATTAAACAAAATAGTGTGGATTTGTTGAACATGTGTTGGATCTTCTGTTAGATGCAAATATACCGGTATATATTTTTTTTAATGCTTGCTTAGTTGTCTTTAAATAGTACATTATCTAAACGGTGGTCAGGTTCTTTGAATCTCTCCCTTCCATTATCTTGTCAAACAAATCATTGGAGCTCATGTTTGAATTTTATTTTCCTTTCCGTCTGTAGGAATACCAGTTTATTTACTTTTATGTTGTACCGGACACCAACTTTGACATATTGATTACATGTTCCCTGACTACGCAAAAAAAACATCAAAGCAGAGCAACCACATGGAGTTACACTACAGGTAATTCACAACCTGAATTACCTGTTGTTGTGACTTTTTCTCATTGTTGGCCTGTTCTCCAGTCAAAGTCAGGTTTGTTACCTGGAATTTTCATACACTACCAGACTACACTACCACTACTGTACCACTATGATTACCCTTCCCCCTGCCTAAAGCAGAAAACCACATGGAGTTCAGCATTCGTTTCTAAAAAAATGTATCTGTGCACATGTAGAAATTACTCCATGATGTTTTAATACAGTGTTCCTCAAACTAAGGCTCACAGGCTGGTTAAAGGCCATGGGATTGTGTAAACTGGCCCTCCTACAGCTAGAGAAAGGGAGCCACTGTTTGCTGAGGGTTGGAAGGCTCTGCACCCACTGCAACTATGCAATCTTTTACAGGTACTATCCAGCGGAGTGGTCTCCTGTTGGTGTAGCATGTAGCCTACATGGTAGGTGCCAATGAACACCAGTGATGGGTCATCATTCCTCCCAATGATGGGTCACCATTCCTCAAACTGACGTTTGGGCATTTTTTTACTTCCACTGATGCTGGATCATTTTCTACTTCCACTGAGGCTAGGACCTTTTTACTATTCTTACTAACCACTGACAGTGGGGTATTTGTTAGTTCTACTGACCACTGAAGTCTGGGCATTTATTACTCCTATTGATCACAGATTTTGGGGCATTTTTTTGGTACCTCCTCTGGCCACAGTCCACTCCCAAAACAGTCTGACAGGCATTAAACTGTCTCTTTTGTTGGAAAAGTTTGAGGGCCTCTGCTTTAATAAAGTGATGCATGATGTTCCTACTTAAACAACATCAAATGTCTATCAAATTACCATAGCAACCTAGTATATTCTAGTATTCCATCAACCACATTAGCTTGTGGTTTAACATTTTGCTGCATCCGTCATTAACAAAGCATCGGAACTGCTGTATATACTTGCATGCTTAATAAATTATCGGTACAGATGTTGTTCCTTAAATAAGGAATTTTGGACAGTGGTGATTTGGTTAAATTAAATTTGTATGGTCAAGTTGGTGTCTTGTTGACCCGGTGTAGATTTTTATTTTGAATAATCTTTGCTCCATCACTTCTATACAGTCTTCCTAAAGCAAAAACAACACCGGTGCCAGCACCCACCACTTGTATGCACACAAACTAGTAATATTAGTGATGTAGCTCCCAGTGGTCAGGGCAACCGACAACCTGAAAAACATAAAGCAAAAATATAGGTTCTGATGAAGGGGGCGTTGTCTCTGAAACATGTAAACCCATGGAATACTTGGGGGCAGAAGACTCTGGTTTAACATCAATACTCCAGCTCGTCTTTGTTCGTGATTTCGTTTACCCATCCTTGTCACATGCCTGTGTTCAACAGTTGTTTGTAAGTACAGTCCTAGCTGTGTGCCTTCTTTTTTATTAAATACTGTTTTACACTATGGAGGAGCTCCTGTTTGCTTTATGTCTTCCTAAAGGAAGATGGATAGACCATTAGTTTGACAGTGGTTAAACAGTGTGTCTAATTTGATGGAGCAGATGGAATGGGCAATGTCAATTCTAAGTGGCATCAGAGACCTGGGTTTTAACAGCATGTCTTTAGCTGTAGATATCTAAAAAGCATCTGAAAGGTAAAATTCTCTGACATATTGCCTTTTCTCTTGGTGTGTCTCATCTAGTGCCAAAATAAAATCTCCGTTAAAAGTTAGATACAGCCAGCTATACCTTTTTAGATTCACACATGACCAGTTGTTAAATTTAACACAATTGTCCTCCTTTTTTTTTTTTTTTTTCTTAAACGTTTTATGAAATTCTCGGGTTTTCTGCCAAACCATGGATCATTGACGTAACAATGTAAGCATTACATGCCTTCCTAATACATGGAAATCGATGTATGATAAGTCAGTAGAATTACATTTATAAATTTACTGCCACCCTGTGTTTTGAGATGGCACACCTCCTATATAATTTCTATACTTGAATCACTTCTCAGCCTGCACACTGCTGTAGGCTGGGAGTGTTCAGGAATGTCCATGAAATGCCATGTGAATTTAGTATTCTATCTTCCTTTTTTTTTTTTTCTAGAATTTTCTCTAGTGGATACTATGGATCTAGTTAAAGACCATGAATTACCTTGAATGTTCTTACATATTTGACTTATGTATGGGAATTCTGGTTTATTCTTCCAATAATGCCAAAACTAATGAATCTATTATTTCCTCGTTAAGATTTATCTTGCGTTTTTATCTCCTGTGTCCCCATTGGGGAGATTCACTGCCTCTATTTCTCCAGTTGACCGTGGTCACCTGGACAGAAACTGATGTGATATACAACATTTTACAGTTTTCACTAGGTACATACTATGGTGACAACTGTCTAGGAGGCATATTCCTCTTTTAGAGAGTTTTTTTCCTTTCAATTCCTGTTGGGTCTCTGTGACGGGAAGTAAATGCTCTCTAATAGGAAGCAGCAACATTTTTTTAGTGGTTTTGGGGAAAATAAAAATGGCCGTAGGTACACTTTTTAATAGTCACTTGGCACGTGACTTGATCTCTGATTTTAAGAAAATAGGAAGGGGGAAGTTGAGGTGTTTCAACCACTGAGACTGAAATTGCATTATTTATGTCCTTACCATGATATCTGCATTGCACAGATTAGCAACCCTAGGCTGGTATTCTACAGAGGGACCCAAATAATTATTAGTGAGAGGACCCTAATGTATCCTGACCAGTGTGCAGTATGGGGTTCATGCAGTGTGCATGAACCCCATAATTGTATTCCTTTTCCCTTTTGAACTCCTGCACAGAACTCATTCGAAACCAATGTGATCTGATTGCATACTGCCAAATTTGTTTTTAATGTTAATCAACTGTTAAACCAGAGTTATATCTCACAACTGACTCAATTGTTTTCTGCATTTTACAGAACTATTTACATGGTTAGAATGCCTGTTTCAAATGCCAGATGTAAAGCCCTCTTTATTAAGTTGTCATACAGCTGTAGTGCACAAACATTTTGATAGGAATGATAAGTACTATATGCAACAATGGCTTTAGGCTAGTTTTTAAGAAGATTTTATATTTATTTACATAAAAGATAGGTGCTAATTTAATTAGTTCTGTGTGGGTGTTGGAAGAATCTGATGGATCAAATCCAGGAAAATTGTAGGCATTCTCTGGCTGCTGGGACTGCAAACAGCTGCCAGTCCTAACAATAGTGTGTGTGTGTATTCTACCGAGCATTTATCTATACAGTATATGACAGAATGTTTGTGATTACCTGGCCATCACACCCATATGGGACTGTTAGGCATACTATTCCAAAACCATGGCCGTTAATATGGAGTTGTCCTCTTCATGGTCAATTAATATGGAGTTGGCCTCTTCCCATCCACCATTTGGGGCCATAACAAGAGCCACTCTTTTTGGAAGGCTTTGCCCAAGATTTTGCAGTGTGCCTGTGGAAATTAGTGACTATTTATCCAAAACAGCATTTGTGAGGTCAGATACTCATGTTGGGTAAGAAGACCTGGCTTGCAATTAGTATTCTAATTCATCTAAGGTGTTCACTACGGTTGAGCTCAGGGCTCTGTGCAGGTCACTTGAGTTCCTCCACATCACTTTTCAAACCATGTTTTTATAAAGCTGGCAAAGAAAAAGGGCCTTCCTCAAATTTCCACATTGCCACAGAGTTGGAAGTGCGCAGTTGTCTAAAATGGTTTTGCATGCTGTATCATTAACACTATGCTTCACTGGAAACACCTGAATGCCATAATTTGGAGGAGTGTTGGCATATGTGTCGCCATATAGTAGATGTGATGGTCAAGTGTCCACCAGCTTTTGACCATGGAGTGTAGGATAGTGTGAGCTGCTCAGGGCATAATGGCCATGTAGTAACCCACTCACTTGTTGGTTTGCGAAATACAAATTCAAAATATCTTTGCACATGGCCTGAAGCTTGCAAAAATGTTTTTTTATTTAGATAGAAGCTGAAATATGATCAACATCTTTCTTTTATATACCTTTTTTATAATAAAAATGTCTGCTGTTATTGCATAAATATATTGGCATATTCTTTAAAACTGAAAGCAGAAATCTGCTAAAAACACTGATGCATTTTTCTTTAAGTCAAGGTAAAGTAAAATCTAAGTATAGGATGTAAAATATGTGCCTTAATAATGTTTTCATGGCACTCTGCCATTAAAAAGGCTTCAAAAATTATATTTTGCCACGGTAAGGGTTTCTTCCAGCCTGTGTGTCCGTGCTTCTTTTCTTGAAAATGCATTAATTTTTCAAGGAGATTTTCCTGTACCTGGAGAAATTCCTATGAAATATAATACAGTGAATGACAGATTCAAGGGAGTTTTTATGGCCATTTAATGAAGCTGCCAAATTCTCAAGGGACAGCTGACAAAAGACTCTGTGAAACAAATTAGCAACTGTAAAATCTTATCATTAGTTAACTCTTAAGGCTAATGTAAATGGGAAGCCTGGTTCAGTTGGTTCAGTGGCATACCTACAACTTGTTAACGGTAAGGATCTGCCTTTATTGCTCTTTTTTGCACCGCTTCTTTGCTCTGTACCACACAATTTTCCGTAACTATTCTGTAACGAACACTTAATAAAGGTTAGAAAATAAATGCTTA